GGCTGGTTGCCACACTGGCTTAGAGAAGGCAGACAGCCTGGCCCAGGCTGGTGCTCTCCATGGGGCAGAGAAGTGACACTGTCTCTCTTCAGTAATGGGAGGACGCTAAGCAGAAAGGCTGAGAGTATGGTACAAAGTTACTGTGCTTTTCTTTGCTACGAAAGGAAGGCAAGAGAGTTCCCCAAGTGTCATACCCACCAGTGTTAAACGGCATTCAAACCTTTCAAAACAAAATATGTGGTATAATTGGATTATTATGATGATGATGATGTCAGTTGGCTTTTTCTATATAAAAAATAACCTCCAAAACTTTGTGGCTAGAAACAATATGTAATTCCTATAGCTTTTGAGTCCACAGGCCAGCTAAGTGGCTCTCTCTGGACACCTCAGCTGCTCAGGTTCACGCATCCGTGGTTGTCTGTGGAGTGGGTGTGCCACTCTGCTGACGTTCGAAGAACTCCCTCACACATTTAGGGGTTGGCAGCCTAGAGCTTGACCTTGGCTGGGATGGTTGGTCCTCCTCCATGTGGCTTCTCACCTAGAGACCAGGCTCAGCTAGGCTTCTTTACAGGACATTACCAAGGTTCCAGGAGAGGAAGCAGAAGGGTACAAGTTTTCTTGAGGCCTAGCCTCAGAATCGGCCCATTCTGTTAGCTGAAGCAAGTTCCAAATCCAGCCCAGATGGAGGAGATAGGAAATGGGCGTCTTTTGATGGGAGATGCTGCAAGGTCACACAGCAGAGAATATGGAGGGCTGGCGTGTGCGTGAAGACATAGCACAGCTCTTTTTATAAACATGATCCATACTCCTGGCACTGAGTTGTGTGTTATCGATGCTCTTGGTCAACACGGGTTCTACTCTTTAGGGGAAAGAATGAAGGTGTTCGGTCTTCGGAGCTTTACAGCCGCTAATTATTGCAATACAGAAATGGGCGTGGTTTAAATGCACCTGACAGGATAACAAGGCTACGTTTTTTTCTGGGTTATACTAAGCGATAGGTGTAAATGACATCAGAGGGTAGTGGTCTCTGTTTATTTTTGTGATTCAAGTCTTGAGATTTATTAACTCTCAGGGTTCCTTTTTTATTTCTTAATTAAATTCAGCAGTGAACAAACTATGAAATGTGATTTGCAGGCTGGCTTTCATATTTGAGTGTTTCACTTCCTCCTGATCTAGAATTGCCTGCCTTTCAAAGCTGCTAATGACAGATAAAAGCAAGAATATAATTCAACCCTGGCAAAGAACATTTCTCTTGTAATGTTTCACGACTTTGTCCCCACTCGGCCTTTTCCTTTTTATTTCATCTTAAACTCTAAACTATAGAATTAACCGTCTTAACTGGAGTTGATTTGCAAGCCAATTCATTCTCTTTGTTCCAGAACTCTGGGTGTCCTACATTTTTCCATCTGTAATAAACAGTCTTGCTCTTGGGCAAACCACGGCTTCTTACCTGTTGGCCATAGTCACTCGCACATATTAAAGAACGCTGCCCTCTTGTGTTCATAGCGATTGCTACAAGGAGTGAATTAGCAAGTTTATTATGCCAGAAATGTGACATTCCAGTCCACGGAGATCGTCTACCAGGGAGCTTGCCCACCAGGGAGCTTGCCCAGGGCCGCCAAGTATGGTTGTATAGATTGAACACTGCAAAATGAGCCCAGCCCAAGAGGTGAATGAATGGTCATTGAAATCCATCCCATACTGCTTGTGAAGCCATGCATCCAATGTCCAGGCTATGTCTTCCAGAAGTAGATGCTCTTGAAAATTTCATACAAGGGCACCATCCACTCATCAATCCTTATCCCACCTGGAATGTGCAAGCTTCTGTCATTTATACAGATTTCTAATAGGCCAGTGACAGCCTTGGGGAACTTCACTATGAGTTGGTTGGACACTGCCCTCATCATGTTAATTTCCTACTCAGAAATTTCCAGAAATTAAAATTATACCATTAGTGCTGAATGACATCACTTTGTCCCAGGTTATCAGAGGAAGGGAATAAGGAACAGAGAGATAAAATAAGAAGGGCCAGATTTGCTCTTTGCAATGCGGAGCATTCAAATGCAGGCTTTCTGACTCCCATTGCAGCTCTGAGGTCTTATCTTTAGCTTGGGGTGATCCCATTATCTGATTGCGCCCTACCTGTCCCTACCAGGCCTAAAGGAGATGCGCAGTAGTTTGTTCACTGAATGAATACATGAATGACTGTCCAACTATATTTTCTTTTTAATTTTAATTCTAGTGTGTTAACATTGTTATATTAGTTTCAGGTATACAGTATAGTGATTCAACAATTCAATGCATTACTCAGTGCTCATCACAAGGAAAGAATTCTCATCACCTCTTTTACCCATGCCCCCCACACACCTCCCCTCTGGTAACCATCTGTTTGTTCTCTATAACTTAGAGTCTGGTTTTTTGTTTATCTCTTTATTTTCTCTTTGTTCATTTGTTCTGTTTCTTAAATTTCACATATAAGGGAAATCATATGGTATTTGTCTTTCTCTAACTTAATTTGGCTTAGCATAATACTCTTTAGCTCTATCCATGTCATTGCAAATGGCAATTTCATTCTTTTTGATGGCTGAGTAATATTCCACCGTGTGTGTGTGTGTGTGTGTGTGTGTGTGTGTGTGTACATATATCATATAGCACCTCTTCTTTGCCATTCTTCTCTCAATGAACACTTGGGATGCTTACATACTGGCTATTGTAGATAATGCTGCAATAAACATAGGGAGCGTGTATCCCTTCAAATTAGTATTTTCATATTCTTTGGGTAAATATTCTGTAGTGCAATTCTTAGATCATAGGGTAGTTCTATTTTTAACTTGAGGAACCTCCATACTGTCTTCCACAGGGACTACACCAGTTTGCATTCCCACCAACAGTGCACACAGAAGGGTTCCTTTTTGGGGTGACTGGGTAGCCAGTTGTTAAGGGTCTGCCTTTGGCTTAGGTCATGATCCAGGGTCCTGGGATCAAGCCCTGTATTGGGCTCCCTGCTCAGCAGGAAGCCTGCTTTCCCCTCTACCCCTCCCACTGCTTGTGTTCCCTCTCTTGCTGTCTCTCTCTCTGTGTCAAAGAAACAAATAAAAATCTTAAAAAAAAAAAAAAAAAAAAGGATGTGTTCCTTTTTCTCCACATCTTCACTAATAATTGTTTCTTGATTTTTTTATTTTACCCATCCTGATTGGTGTGAGGTGGTATCTCCTTGTAGTTTTGATTTGCATTTTCCTGATGATGAGTGATGTTGAGCATGTTTTCATGCATCTGTTGGCCATCTGGATGTCTTCTTTCGCCAACTGTATTTTCTGATGTTTCTTTGCCTCCACCTCCCCAAACTTCCAGCCTCCTATGCCACATCTATTCCAGCTGTACATCTTTATTCATACCTGTGTTGCTCACTGCTCTCTTCTTAGTCAACTTTTTTTTTTTTTTTTTTAAATTTTAGAGAGCGAGAGCACAAGCGTGAGTTGGGGGAGGAGCAGAGGGGGAGGGAGAGGGAAGGAAAAGAATCTCCTGCAGAGTCCGCACTGAGCACAGAGTCCTGCACCAGCTAGATCTCCAACCATGAGATCATGGCCTGAGCCAAAACCAAGTGTGGGTTGCTTAACCGAAGGAGTCCCCAGGTGCCCCCTAGTCAACTCTTATACAAGCTTCCAGACTCAGTTCCAGGTCTACTTCCTCCATTAAGCTTTCCTCCTCCTGCCTTCATTAAGCCTGAAGAAGGACAGCCATAAAGGCTGAGCACAGGGGTTCACCCTTAGTGGAAAGAGCGCTAGACTAAGTCAAGGACCTGCACCCTAGGCCCAGGTCTGCCAGCAGCTGGCTGTATGGTCCTGGAAAGATGCCCTCACCTCTCTGCGCCTCATCTTGTCCTTCCCGATTACAAAAGCTTCAGATACATTGGTGTTTCTCTATGTGCGGCCTGCATAGTGCTGGTGAGGTGGTATTAGGTGGTTCGTGGGCAAGTAATTTTCTCATGTTAGTAGAAATATATTTGTTTCAATGTGTTTTCTGAGGGAAAAAAAAAAAAGGCCAAAACATTAAACTTATGGTTCCTCGGATATTGTTGTATGTGACAAGTTAAGTATTTAAAGTTTGGAAAGAGTACATTTAAGGAAAAATAGTAAATAAATTACAAGTGATCAGATATGGCAGAAATGATAAGGTGGTATAAAATGGTGTAAGTTTGGAAAGTACCAGAGGAGCTTTTCACCTTGGCCTCTTCTAACTCTCTCACTGGGTCCTTCTCTGATGTTTCTTCACCAATGACAATTCGTCCTTCATGACTCGTTACTGATGACAGTATATCCTCTCTCATTGCTAGAGCTGTATGTGATAATACTTTGATTTCTACCACAATCACACAGCATAAAGCACAAAATAGGCCTTTAAAAAAAGACTTGTGGCTTCACTGATTTTTCCCGTATTGCTGCCAACATGTATAAAAAGCGTTGCCTGACCCAGAGTGGCAAGATCCTAATTTCAAAACCATGTCTACTTATGTAAATGTAGACGTTTTTCCTCTTTCTAAAAATCATGTAGACTCATTATGTAAAATTTGGAAAATAAAGAAAAGTGGAAAGAGAAGAAAGAACACATCCATAATCTTATTATTCAACAATGAACCCTTTAATCCCCGTCCCTAATTCTAAGTTCTCCTGCAAAATCCTAGTTAGTGGGGATCTATTTCTGTTTATCATTTTGGAAAATCGGAAAGAATCCTGATTTAATATATTTTTATCGCCCAAATTATAAAATCAAAAAATATCAATAGGGAATCTAGGGTCAGAGGTCCATTGGCACATTTTTATAAGGAGCTGTTAAATAAGCCCTACAGAGGTGAGCCCAAACTGAGAGAGGCTACCGCAGATCAAGGATCATAATAACTGATACTCTGCAAAATGCATTGTTTATGCAAAGTTCTATGCTAATAATGTTGGTTGAATATACCAGCTAGATGTATGCTGATTGTATATTTGTCTCTTCCACAGGGTTTTTGGAGTCTCTGGATGACTTTTACATTCTTAGCAGTGGTTTGATATTGCTACAGACCACAAACAGTGTGTATAATAAAACTCTACTAAAGCTTGTGGTACCACAGTCTCTCCTTGCATGGCAAAGGGTCCGTGTGGCCAATATGATGGCAAATGATGGCAGGCAGTGGGCAGAGATCTTTTCAAACTACAACTCTGGTAAGTGGCCTGGCAGAAGAGCTCTTAGGCATGTACATGTTCAGATTTCGAGTTAACCAGTAGAGCCGCAACCATACCCTACTTCATGTCTCCCAACATTTCAGGCACCTATAACAACCAATACATGGTCCTGGACTTGAAGAAGGTAAAGCCGAAGTACAGCCTTGACACAGGCACTCTGTACATTGTGGAGCAAATTCCTACGTATGTAGAATATTCCGACCAAACCGAGATTCTACGGAAAGGTACTATCTTTATGCTAGAAGTCTGGAAGTCCGATCAGTCTGTGAGTGTGTATGCCTGTGTGGTGGGGAATGTGTGGTATGGGGCTCTATGATGGGGAGGGGTGTACGATGGGGAAGAAGGGATGGGAAAGCCATTGCTAGTTACACTGGGAAAGAGCTCCCAGCTTCAGCACAACATGTAAAATCTGCACCTCAGACTCTTACATGACATCATATAGTTGGGGACAAAGCCAGGCATTTATGGGCTTAGGACTTCTCATCACTTTAACATTACCTTATCTTCTGGGCTCCTGGGTAAAGCTTTTAGTCAAGCTCAGCAAATATTTACAGAAGTGCTTCCTTGGCCCAGGGACTGGAAAAGCATGGCTGCAGGTTACAAATTCCCCAACCTTTAGAAACAGTCTAGTGAGGAAGTGAGTCATGTAGCCAGCCCTTAGAACCCAGAACAGGAAGTGCGGTCATAAAGTCCGGGGTGCCTAGCCCAGGGGTGGGCACGGTCAGTGGGAGGATCAGAGCAGGCGGGTCTGAAGGGCAAGACCAGAGCCCCGACATTTGAATCATGGGTTTTAGAGTGACACCACTTTGATTTGAATCTCTGCTCCTCAAAATCTAGGGCAAATGATCTACTCTCTCCAAGCCTCACTTTCTCCGTCTGTGAAACACTACATTAGCAGTACAGGTCCACAATCACTGATCTGTAATTTTGAAATCTCAAAAAAATGTTTTGTTTTGTTTTTTTTCCTAAACTTAGTACCAAAATATGACCCGACCTGACCTTTTGGTAGCAAAACTACCCGTTTGGCAATTCGGTAGACTTGAACTGTTTAGTCTTTATTTCCTCTCCTGCAGGGACACTGTACATTAGGCTCCAGAGATTCCAATACCTCTGATTATGAAGTGTTGCCCACAGACACTGCAATGTCATGTGTGATGTGCACACCCCACTGCTGTTCTAAGATCTGCAAAACCCTGAGTTCTGAATGATCTGGCCTCCAAGTTTTTGGATGTGGGAATGTGGACCTTTCTTTTCCAATTTGGATGCGGGAATGTGGATCTTTTCTTTTCCAATTTCAAAGTTGTCTTGAGAGTGAATTGGGGTAATTCTTGCCAATTCTTGAGCACACTGCTGACACAAAGCAAGCACTCTTACTTACCTTGCATCAAACACAGTGTTCGGCACACACAACATATGTGCATATTTGTTGAATAAAGGAAGAGTGAAGATGATGTCTGAGTGATGGTTAAATGTCAGAAAAAGAGCTCAGCAATTTGACAAGGGGACAATGTCAAACAAATGGAGGCATGAAAACTGTGTTGTGATTGAGAGACTGTTAGCTTTCGAGGCAGCTAGAGGAAGGGCTCTGCAGTGGAAAGTGGTGGTGAGTGAAAAATGGCAGTTTTTGAAAAGGGCAAACAGACTGGGAGTCAGAGAGAAGGCAGGAGACTAATTAGGACACTGTTGCAATAGATGAGCAGAAACAGAATCAAGGGAAGATATGGACCCTCGGAATCAGGGCCTAGTCCGCTCCCAGGTCCCCAGAGATTTTATAATGACGCCAACCAAATGCTCATAATACGCAGAAAACAATTCATAAAGATGGAGATTTCAGTTGCCAAGCAGATCAGATACTGCTCAACAGAGACGTCCAATCATTGGCGGTCACGTAGTTAGGACTGCCATTCAAAACTGAGAAGTCAGCTGTCTGATCTTGACATGGCCTGGCCCATCCAGATCATGAGAGCCCGATAAAATTAGCAGCCTCAAGAGGGAGATGTGTGTTAAAGGGGACAGATTATTCATGGCCTTTTCTTCTTTGGACTGCGACTGATTATGGAATGGCAGACTCAGGTTCTTTGTGATCTTATTCCTAGATTCCATGAAGAAATCTACCCTGAGACTAAAAAAAAATCTGATGCTGATCTGTTTGTAGTTGTTTTGCTGAAGGTGGGAAGAACAGAGAGTTAAATTCATTGTCCACTGTATACTAAGCACTCTTTTCAGCCTTTTACTTACATTTTCTTGTTTGATCTTCATTAATATACTTCCAGATAAGTTGCACTGTTACCATTTTACTATAAGGAAAGAAAGGCTCAGAAAGAAACATGTGATTTGCCCAAATACTTATGCGCTATCACACAGCCATTAAAATAAAAGACAGGGGCGCCTGGGTGGCTCAGTGGGTTAGAGCCTCTGCCTTTGGCTCAGGTCATGATGCTCAAGGCATCGGGCTCTCTGCTCAGCAGGGAGCCTGCTTCCCTTCCTCTCTGCCTGCCTCTTTGCCTACTTGTGATTCAAATAAATAAAATCTTTAAAATAAAATAAAATAAAATAAAATAAAAAGACAGAAAGTTCTATAGACCTCCTGGAATTTGGAAGCAGCTGTGGTATATTGCTGGAAGCCTTTTGGTCAGAAAGGAGGCATTGGACATCTCTGAACCTCTGTTTCGTTCTTATAAGGAGGGATGATAAGGCTTATGTACATCATTAGGTTGTTGTGACATACGATAATCTATTTCAAATGCTTTTGTAAATCATGAAGCTTTAGGAAAATGTGAAGTGTAAAGCGGCCATTTTGATTATTCATTTGAGCTGCATTCACATTAAGAGAAGTATAGTAGTTATAACAGTTAATATTCATCTAATGCTTACCAAGTATTAGATGCTATTATAAGCACTCCATCTGTCTGAGCTCGTTTCATGCTCATCATCATCCTTGTAAGGTAGGTATTTTCATTGTTCACATTTTATAGCTGAAGAAACTGAAGCGCAGAGAAGTCGAATAATTTGTCTAAGGTCACAAACCTAATGAAGGCAGAACCAGGCTTCAGATCCAGGCAGTCTAACCCCTAAGTCTATATATAACCTAGATATACTATAGTAATGAACATGATTTTAGCCTGTCAGTTCAATATTGTCTTTAATCTCAGTTCCTCCTGATCCTGGCCTGTGTCTTGTCATTTTTTAAAATCTCTGTAACCTCACCCCTGAGTAGGGGATCCTATAAAACAGAAAAAGGGAGAAAGGCAGACAAAGGCCAAGACAATATGGGGGATGGGAAATGAATCCTGAATGGTGGAGGAGTCCCACCTGTGTTGACTAACTAATCTGTAGACAATAGCCCAGGCCCCCGGAATCTGGGCTGTTCCTGAAATATTGATTGTACTAGAGCTGTGTCACATGTCTGATGCTTAGTGACGAATGTGCTCTATGGCCTTGGCACACCGTGAAGCTTGGGATGAAGCTAAGCCTTAAAAAATGCTTACGAAGAAGTTAAAGCCTGCTGGAACCTTAAAGATTATCTCCAATCTCTTCAAATTTTGGATTTTTCCTTTCCCGCTCCATTAAAAAGAGCAAATAAAGTGAAGTTAACGGACTGAGACCTTGTGATTCAGCCCCGAGCCTAGAATTCAGGTTTTCTTAACTTTAGGTACTGTGTTCTTCCACTGTCCCATGATTAGCACCTGGCCTGCTCCCTGTTAGGGCCACACTGTGAAACTATCTTTTGGCATTTCAGGAACCAGGTTCACTTACACCAGCTCCCCAGACAGCTCCATGTTTTGCTTCATTTTATTAATCAGATTATAAATTATTTTTCTGGTTAATAGATTGCTTTAAGAATTTTGGGTGAAAACCAAAGAATTCTGATCCTCTTCTTTCCCTAATGGAACCATCTAGAGGTATATTGATTCTGTAAATTTAAAAGGATCAGTTTGAAGGCCAGTGTTCACATTCAGAGCTTTATTTTCGTTGTAATGTCATTTTATAATCACACATCTGTGCTAATTTTCAAAAGAAACTATCATTAATGACATCTCTTTTGTTCCATCTCTCTTTTCTGTCTCCCTGTCAATCTCACCCTTCCTTCCTTTCCATCTGGAACCAGGATATTGGCCCTCCTACAACATTCCTTTCCATGAAAAAATCTACACCTGGAGTGGCTATCCAATGCTAGTTCAGAAGCTGGGTTTGGAGTTCTCCTATGACATGGCTTCACGAGCCAAAATCTTCCGGCGTGACCAAGGGGACGTGACGGATATGGCATCCATGAAATATATCATGCGATACAATAGTACGTAGCACATTTCTCAAGAATCATTCCTCAAAACTCCTTTTCTTCTGCATGGATAAAGAATCCATGTAAGTTTTCCCACGTAAAGAATCAATCTTTGTACTAGAAGGAATTAAAAGAAGTTATTTGGTATTCAATCAATACTATACATATTTTATACTCAACAGATAGGATTTTGTCCTCTTTTATAAAATGACAGGGAAGAACATTCTATAGATTTTTTTCACTGAAAAAAATAGCATGTGAAACACAGATAAAATAACCCATACAGAGTACTTTCTTTTTACCACTCCCCCTCAACCCTAACACAGGTTTTCTTCCAAGGACAGAAGCAGCTAATAAAACAAAAATTATTGATAACCACTTTATTTTTGATGAATAGTATCAAATTTGTATCTATTTTGTTGAAGAATAGTGATGTACATTTAGCCTTTATTCTCTCTCTTCCATCCACTCTTCACTGTTCAAGGTTCTTGAGAGCGGCTGGGCCAATGAGGCCACTGGGGTAGATTCTGATTATCTAGACTTGCAGAGACTCAGAAAGCTTCCTCTGGGCAGGTGTATCTCCAAACAGCCAGTGCTCACCCTCTTCCCTGTCACTCTTTCCTCCTAGATTATAAGGAAGATCCTTACAGTAAGGGCGATCCCTGCAATACAATCTGTTGCCGTGAAGACCTGAACTCACTTAACCCAAGTCCTGGAGGTTGCTATGACACGAAGGTAACATGTGAACCGGCTTTTGAATTTAATTTTTACTTGCACCTAGGTCTGTCCAAAGGCAAAGCTGCAGAGATTTCTGTGGCCTAAAGCACAATATTGTCTCTGACCCTAAGTTCAATTCAGAAATCAGCTTTTGCAGATTCTGGTGGTAGGTCTCATTGCCTAACTTTCATGCCTTGCCCTGCCACTTAATAGAAAATTCCATAATCTTGGCATATTTGTTTCCTTACTGTAAGATGGACATAACAGTATTTTCCTTATGGGATTATTGTGAAGAATAAATATTAAATGTCAATGTTGCATTATTTGTAAGTGTACACCATCATGAGGATGGTGATGACATTGATGTCTTAAGTTTTACCAGACTAGCCCAAAGTCCAAAGAACCTATTATTGGGAGCAGTGTGATTTCACATTAAACAGGAACTGAATTTAGCTGGAGGAACAAGTTTACTGGACAAGCACTAAAGGGTTTTCGCCATGTTAGAATTATTAAGTGCTGTAATGCATCACCTAATATAGATAATAAATAGGTATTACTTATTTGCAGTGGTGGGCTGAAGCCAGCTCATAAGGGCTGTAAGAACCAGTTGTTAAAATCAGATGTGGACAGCTTGAAATCAACCATGGAGGAGTATTTACACTATGCAAATCAGCAAACACTACAAATCAGGGTCTTTTTTTCCTCTCAGAGAGCTGGTCATTAAGAATTTTCCTGCAGACTACCAGATCTAGGGTGTCCGAGGGTATGAGTTAGCCATGTGGTTGGTGGAAAAGAATCATTCTGACACGTCCTTTTGCATTTCTGGTTTGGGCATGTCTCTTTGTTTGCACTTTCAGTCCTAAATTCTGGAAAAAATCAGTTAGAAGTGGAGTTAACTGTTAAGAATGCTGATCCCCCTACACATAATTTTTTCTATCAGCCTAATGCGTAAGAATAAGATGCTTCAGAATAGTCTAGTTCCTACTCAAGCTACTTTTTATTCATATGATACCAGAGCTCTAGCTTTAATGACCCCAAATATGTTGTGTAAAGTAAAATTCAGTGGATATAGAGAGCCTGACACACACGAAACCCTAATGAATATTTATTTCTTATTAATGGTGTTTGCAAACATTCGGTAAAGTGTGTAAGAAGTGTTCTAGCCATTCCCGAATACACAGAGAATTACCTCTGCTGCCTTGCCTGAGAGAACCTAAGCCAACCTTCCGTCTGCCAAACTTTACTTTCTTCTGGAGAGAGGAATCTGCCAATTTTTCATCAAAAGAGTTTGTTTAAGGATATCCTTAGCATTTCCCCTGAGTCATTTGGGATATACGGAAAATCAGAAGTTATGAGGTATCTTTTTCTTTTTCCTCTAAGGTTGAGATCTGCTGCTATCCAGTGTTTAGGTGCTTTTGAGAACCACGGACCTTGTTTTTTTGATATTGAGTTTCTTCTACTTTAAAACTCTTGTTATGGGGTGCCTGGGTGGCTCAGTCAGTTAAGTGTCTGCCTTCTGTCTAGGTTATAATCCCAGGAGTCCCGCATCGGGCTCCGTGCTCAGTGGAGAGCCTGCTTCTCCCCCTCCCTCTGCCTGCTGCTCTGCCTGCTTGTGCACTCGCTTGCTCTCTCTCTCTCCCTCTTGTCATATAAATAAATAAATAAAACTTAATTTCCTAAAAATAAATAAAACTCATTACTGCCCTGATTAATAACAACTTTTGTTGAAGAAGGTATCTAGTCACTACTCCAAGCATTTTCTCTCATTAATCCTTGTAACAACTCTTCTATGAAGTATGCTTATCAAAATCCTTTCACAAATGAGAAAATGGAATCCCATAGGGTTCTTTTTAACAAGTTTTGGAGCTAAAATTCTGAACATGAGCCTTCTGACTCCCGATCTCACACTTTTGGCTACGTTAATGCACTTCTACTGAATTCACATCTGAATACCAAATGGTTATGGAAGAGCATGTTGTGGAAGCTTGCAAGATTTTATTTTAAAAGGGGGCTAATACTGTGACTTTGGAAAAAGAGCAGGAACAAAACAAACAAAACAAAAAACAAAGAACAAAACCCCACAAGGAAAAACAGGAATCTAGTTTTTTCCAAATGGTTTTCTAAGATGTCCCTCTCCTCTCTCTTTCCAGGTGGCAGATATCTACCTTGCATCAGAGTACACAGCCTATGCCATTAGTGGTCCCACAGTACAAGGTGGCCTCCCTGTTTTTCATTGGAACCGTTTCAACAAAACTCTCCACAAGGGCATGCCAGAGACCTATGACTTTGATTTTATTACCATGAAACCGATTTTGAAACGTGACATAAAATGAAGGAGGGAGTTGAGGGAATAGAAGGGAATAGAAGGTTGCAAATAAGATTCCAAAGGCACTATTTTAGCTATGTTTTTCCATTCAGAATTAGTCTTAATAAAATATGTTAAATTCAGCCTGCTGCTTTCATTTTCTGTTGATTTTGCAGGTTTTTGTTTGTTTGTTTACAACAAACATTCATTACAAGGTGACACACTGTAGAAGAAATACTCTGGAAAATAAATAATACCTGGCTTTAGCATACAAGTTTATATATATACACAAGATGGTACAGCCGAAACTGCTCACCCAGATCCATATTCTCCTTTCATGCCTGGCCACAGGGACTACATCTCCCAGGTTCCCCTAGACAGCTGTGCCATGTGATAGGGTTCTTGCCCAAGGAACCTGATACTAGTGTCACTTCCAGCCTGGCTCCTAAAAACCTGTCCTCTTCTATGCTTTTTATCCTTCCCTGGGCTGGATATACTTAATGACAAAGCCCTAGGGGATGGTGGAGCTTCAAAGGAACCTCTAATAGAAATGCAGTTAGTGGTTCTTCTGGTCATTAACAAGCACCGGCTGAGTCTTTCTGTGGTACAGACTAGGCACATAATATTACCTTAATGTGGTCTTCCATCAGTTAAAAACAGCACATCTAATCTGGGAGCAACTCTACGTAACAACTTCTCCTTCAAAGCTAGAGAACTTTATGTGGTTTGAGTGCTGTGGTATTGCCAAAATGGGTTAAATAAACCATATTATACAGTATAATGGGTGATTCTTAACGAGGTGAGAAACATCCATAAGCAACACAAGGGCTGAGAATAATTAGAATGAATCAGAATACTCAGAATGTTAAAAACCCAGTAGTTTATTTCAAAGTATAAATTTCAGGCTTGCTGGACAAAATCCCACTACAGTTAACACTTATACAGACACCACTCTACTGTACATTTAGAAAAGGAAAAAAAAAAAACCCACAAAACCTTCAAAACCTAATAAAAATAGGGCAACTCACTATAGCCCAGTTTATATTAGACATTAGGAAGGTCTTACATTGTCTTATTATTTACACTTTCAACTGCAATAAAGAAAAATCAGGATGCAAGTTTCCTACAAAGGATTTATTTTTGTATTTAATTTTGAAATGGCTGAGAAAATAATGAAGCCAGGATCCCAAAAAGGTGTTTGATTGCCCAGTTACCTTATTTACAAACAAAACAAAAACAACCCCCCCCCAGCATTTAAGTATGAATGATGGTACTTAGCTGACTCTACAAATAAAAAAACAAAAACAAGAACAAAAACCTTATGTAGCATGATAAAACTATTTGAAGAAGACAACACGTGTCTTATCATTCCTCCCCATTGGCTGGCTCTAGGGGAATGCACTTTAGGAATTAGATCTAAGTCTGCAACACTAATGAAAACACTTCATGAGGTTGTTCTTTTTGTCCAAAAATTTTAAAAAGTGGGAGAGGGGCATCACTCAGTAAACAGTAAGGGAAGGCAGAATCCTGCATTGATTTTAGATAGAATTATTTCCAACAATCCAATATTGGGGCATGGTTTTTCTGGAAATTAGAATAAAGCAAGTCAATGACTGGCCAACAAAGAAATTAAAATAATGAATAAATCATATGATTCTGAAATAGCCCAAGAAGGAAAGTTGGGGAGAACACTTGGAAGGTCTCTGCAGTACTCTAATGTGTTAAAATCACAGTGTATCAAAGTAAGAGAAGAGGATACCACAGGCATTGTTTTGTTAATCTTGTACAGTACTGGAAAATTTGTGGAACAAGATAAATGCATATCATGCAATATTAACATTCACCTTGCTGCATAAATAATTTGGAAAATGTAAGCAAAAGAGCAAATGACAAAAACTAAGTTAACACTTACTCAATACAGTAAGAGAACTGTATAGTGCAGCCTGCCTGCCTAAGGAATTTTGCAGACATTTGTACCAAAAATTCGAAATTCCTTGCTTTCGGTCACATTTCCCAATTAAATCTTTCATTTATGATCCAGCAATGGGGGTGGGGCGAGTGGGAAACACTCTCTGTGAGGCAAATGGCATCCCGATAAAATGTACTTTTCAAGGAAGAAAGCTGTACTCTTCACTTCTCTCATGAACATCTACTGTGTAGTACAGTAGTAAATAGTACACAATATTCTGCATATTTTAAAGAGAGTTCAGGGAAACAGGGATATAGTTACCTCAGAAAGTTAACAGTTAACAACAGATGTTGTCTTTGTATTTTATAAATTTACTGGCAAGAACATAACTTTAAAAAGAGGCTTACTCACACTTAAAACAGGGTGAAAATTACTCTGATAAAGTGCAAAACAGAGAGTAACAAACATCACCATTATCTTCAAATGCCATTATGAACATCCTATACTTTAGGTGGAAATATCAGAAGCTTTCAGGATTTCCAATAAGGCAATACTTACACAGGTAATGTCAGGCTTAAACTGTAGCAAACTTGCATTCCCAAAATGGGATAATCAAACTTATCTGTAATACTTTGTGAAAAGGTACCATGGAGTGTGAACTGCTACAATATAGTCTTGCAATCTCTCTCCCAAAGGAAATAAACCAGAAGTCCGAGCTCATCAACAAAACCTGTCCAAAATAAATGCCTATAGTTCTAGCCTAGCACTTTTCAGTAAATTCAGTATAGCTGTTGCCTATAAATCCCATGGCATGCTAATTTGAGGAGAGCATCTCATAATACATACTTTCCTCAAATAATTACACTCTCTCTTTGTACCTTCCTTCCACCATCTGGAATAAAAAGTTTTATTTTGGTGTAGTAAATGTATTTTTAGGGTTACTATTTGAGAACTTATTTTTGTTTGACAGAAGACACAGTATAGGCTAAAATGTATTTTCATTCTACTGGGCTTTCTTCACCTGATTATATAATGCTATGAAAGCTTTAAAAAAAAAAAAAGATTAGTGAATATAAACAAAAACATTCACCAAGGGAAGTTTTTCTAGGCTAGATAAGCAAATTGTCATCACATGACCATAAAACCAGCCAATAAAGAACACTTTTAATTGAAAACGGGCTTTCCATTCTGTAGACAGGAATGATCTTGAACACATGATCAGCAACGCAACCATTGTAAATAAAAACATATACACATGCAGATATAGAGAGGTGTTCATACACATCTAGAAGATTATCAATTTCTCCCTTTTCAAATTTTCATTGGCATGACACTGACAACTTCTTTTACCATCATTGTTAGTCCTAGAATGAGTAACATCTACGTTAGTTGGTTGGCAAATTGGATTCATGAAAACTTCAATTCTCATTGTGGTATCATTTTCTGAAAGTGAAAGGAAGGTTCTGGAGCACTTACATTTTGGCAATTTGTAGGCTTTCTTCAGCATCAATCAAACTTTACACCTAATGTGACAATATACTGACCAGTGAAGTCTCTAATGAGAGTTTCTTTACAGCATTACTGTAATGCTTCCCATTACAAGCTACCGAAGTTGCAAACAAAGCAGCATTAATAAAAGGTATAGCTCCCTCCTATAATCCCAAGAAAAATTTAAAAATGAATTTATTCTCAGACTTGAAAAGCTATTTCACAAACTCCATGAATTTCTTTCAAACTATTCCCAACCATACTCTCATCCCCAAACTTATCCCATCTCTTCTGCCCTAAACTACCCACACCTGAACGCCTACCTGATACCAGTAAAGCTGGCACTCATACTGAAAATCCATGATCTAAACGGAAGTTGATTAACTCTGAACAGGAACAGAGATGCACAGAAAGGATTACCTAATTGCTACATAAAATAACCCCAAAGGATATACTTGAAATTCTGTCCAAAGTTGACAGAGGGTAAATCAGACAAAACTTGGCACTATCAAAACAAAGTTAAAAGGTTAAAACAAACAAAAAAATGATATGAGAATAATAAGGAAATAAAACTTTCCCTTTGATATTGTAGCTCACTGTATTTTGTGAATTTTACTACCTATGAAAGAATACTATACTTTGGGTGATAAAGTGAACTAGCACTGTTTCCCTAATCTTTAACACAGTATGGAACATAAATTCTACAATATGTTTGAAGGACAATTTTCTTATACAATATGGTCTTTTCTTCTCTTAGTCCATTTTATACAGTTAATTTAAATAGTGACCAAACATAAAAGCACTCATGTTCTTAGAAGAAAAGAGTGAGTCCAATTTTTAGAGTTAAATTTAGTGATCCCACTGGTAAGAATATCCCTAAAGCCTTGGTTTAAAATTGACTTGAAGGGAACGTGCTATATTTAGTAGACATGAAGGAGAAATGAAGGGCAAAAGGCTGAATGAGAAGATCAACAATGGACAAATGGTCATGTTTATTTTTGTAGTTAATCTTTAAGGCACAAAATAAACGTAAGAGCCAGATTAGGAAACAAGGGCCAATGCAGATCTTTTTCACCTAATTAACAACCAAGAAAAGAAAAAAGATGAACAGATCCTTTCCTGTGTTCAAATTAACCTATTTTAAACTATTTAAGCATTTTGCTTTTTTTCTTTCTTTGGGTTTTGTTCAGATTCAGTTTAAGTCATTTAGCTATGAACCTACAGATCCCTCAGAAGCAAATCATGCCATATACCATACCTCGGATCCCTTGATCTACTTACTTTATACTTGAAGAGAGGTAAATGTGAGAATGGAAATGGGAGATTCCACTGCAGTAAACATATAAATAGGGAAAAACACACATAAACACCCACACACATTCCCCAGCCTTAAAACTAAAGCAAGGTGCACATTTACATTTCAAAACCTTGAAGCTTCAATTGTCCAGGAAAAGATTCTTGCTTTATGGGCTATTTATTTTACTTCTGATTATAAACAATGTAGTGTATATACACGTCTGTCCAAGAAATCTTGCACAATGTGGATTTTACAATGGATATCATGCACAAGATTAAAACAAGACCAAAAAGTGGAACTCAGAAAGAAGAAGCGATAAAGGCTCCAAGTTTTAACTGCTCTGGGAAGAAGAGATCACATCTGTTGACTGAGGATCACAGAAAGGTCCAAAACGTCCATAAATATCCTTGGCTCGTACTGCAAAGTAGTATTTGCTGCCAGATACAAAC